GTCCCCCCCCCCGCCCGGGGCTGCGGGCCGGGGGGGGGGGGGGGGGGGGGGGGAGGGAAACAGTGAGGGCCGAGCAGCTTCCCGCTCGCCCCTCGCTTCAGTGCCGGGTTGGGGGGGGGAAGAGCAGTGAGGAGCCGGGGGAGAGGCAATGGGGGGGAGATCAAGGGGGGTGGAGGACACGGGGAACCGGCAGGATGGAGGGGTACTTACCTCCTCCTGCTGCTTCCTCCTCTGCCTCCCCCCCCCGCGAGTATCGCGGGTCCACCCCTTATCTTACTTAACAACCTAAATTTTGTTTCCAGTATTTCATAGATATATTTCTCAATGTTGTTAGTACCAGTATATGCCACAACCATGGATTCCTGCTTGTGCTTTCTGTCAGGCTGTGTGATGTTCATACTTTCGCATCAGACAGTCAAATCATATGCAGTCTTCATGCCCATCACAAACCCATTTCTCTATGTTCCTAATTACCAAATCTCCCACTACTAGTTGCTTTGTGGGAGATTGTCTTGAAGAACAAACACACCAACTGATGGGGGCGGGGGGAACAACCACCAGGGAGTTTTGGATGTAAAGATTATTATCAAGATGCGTGAAGAACTTGAAAATAAGGAAGAGATATTGGGGGAACCTTGTAGAATAAAGAGAAGATTTGAAAAGGCCACTTCTTGCATGAATCATCACATCCGATTATTTACAGATCTTGATTGTCAAGAAGAGAAATGAATATGCTTTACAGTTTGCAAACTCCTTCAACTGAGGCATGTATTTGGGGTTAGGTCTGTGTCACCTTTCCTTCTGAACACTGTATCACTTTTGTTCACAAACCTACACATTTAATAACAGAATCCAGTTAACACATATAGTAAATGATGCTGCACATTACTGCCATCCAAGCTGAGCAGTGCTGGGTGTCTCATTTGTGCACAGAGACTGCTTGTTGTGCAACTTGGTGGTTACTTTCTCTATGGGAGCACAGCAAGGAAGGGACTTCCTGTGCTGTTTTTCTCCTTCAGTGCACCCACGCTATATTCAACATAATTAGAGGAAAATTGGGTGAGGGTAAAAGGTTGTTGTTTTTCTGGCTGTTGTGCAGAAAAATGGTCTGCCCACTTATCAGAATGTTTCCCTTTTGTAGACTGTCTCAGAGATCAGTGTTGCTTCAGCAGATGGAGACTCATCTAGGAGACAGAGAGGCTGAGAAGACACGTCAAATGCAAGACGCTGATGCTGCTCACAAAAGAAATGTAGTACTTTTAAATGTAAGTTTTGATGCCTATCAATCACTAACCATATAATAAAATCTTGGAAGAAGCAAAGTTTATTTAACCTGTGGAAGTGATAAGCTATTCTTCATGCTTTTCTTTTGACAGCAAAGATGATAGGGATTCTTAGGAACATAAGAATTATTTTGTTGGATCAGACTGGTTATCTGTCTAGTGCTTTGACACTATCTTCCATAATAATGTCCATATAATATGTGCATGGCAGAGATGGTGTTTATCCTCTCAATCCTGAATATGGAGGATCAAGATTAAGGTCTAATAGCCATTCATAGCCTTTTTCACCATGCTACTGTAAAATCTCAGATGACACCCCTAATGGACTAATCATGGAAATTAATCGTCATAATTTCAGACCCTCAGCAAATGCCATATAATACATTGAATAAGGCAGTAGGTCACACAGGACATCTTTCTGGCTTTTCATCCATATTTTTAGAGTGGCTGAACTTTGAGCATGTTCTTCACAATACCTGCTTTAGGCACTCTACTGAGCTATTCACAGATAGCAGGTGACTGAATTTGTTGCTGCCTTATGAGTATGCTTAGGTTCCAAATCAAACACCACCCCCATTTCATGGTCTCAGAAGTTTTGAGGTTCAGTGTATTATTGTAATGAACATGTTTAAATTCTTTCTTACTGTAATACTTGAGTACCTCTGCTCAGTGTTTACATGGAATAACTGCATATGGGGAGGGCCACAGAAAGATTCACAGCTCTTACTTGAAATTATTAAAGACAATGACATTGTTCGTCTAATCTTGTAAAGCATGTTATGCACATAAGAACTAATAGTCCAGAATATGAAGAATAATTTCTGCATTCTTGACTCTCTCACAGAAATAAAGGATAATTTCAAGAGGCCCGTTTGTGTTACACTGAGACAATCTGGTATCAGTTTCTACCCCCAAATGCTTGCAAGCTTGTGTGTACAAGATCTGGTATATTTCCACTGGCAAAAGTGCTTCACATTAAAATGATGGAGGTGTGTTTTGATGGAGGACTTGTAAATTGTGGAGCTCTGCATGAGGTGCACTGGCAGAGATAATGGGTTGGATTCAGACTAAGAAGACAGTTTCCATTGATTCCTCCTTCCTCCTACTGATCCCTTCCCCCATGTCATTCCTTAAGGTATCTGTCCCCCAGGAGCAGCATTTTGTGGAGATCAGTGGGCTTCAATGAGAGAGGAGGTAGAAAAGCGCCATTTTGCAGTTGAAAAATTTAGGCTGGATGCAACCCAATATCTTCAGGGGCACATTCCCCTTCCTCACCCATCTAGTATCAGAGCGTGTGGCCAGATTTTGCCCTCACTGTAATGTTGTCAAGTTCAGCGCTTTTCTTAATTTGACTGAATGGCAGCCATTCCCTTATATAGAAAAAATAAAATAAAAGGTATACTCAGAAGTGTCACTGGGGTAGAGCTCAACTTGTTCATTACCCCTGTTGACCCCAGCCACTGAAAATCAAGCCTCTCCCAATTGGCATTGCCCCTTTCTGATTTCTTTTTGTTACTCCAGAAAGTAATGAAACATTGAGACAGTGGTATGGAATATTGGAAATTGGCTTTTATAGATCCAAATGGAAGCATGAAAGTTTGTGTTCTGGTTCTGGGAGCCTTTGGGAACCAAAGATGGAGTCTAGATTGACAAAATCTAAAGAGGTAGATGCCACCTTGTATTTCTTACAGTAAGTGTTTTGCCTGGTAGCAGTTATTTCAGCATGTTGTGTCGGAAGCAGTTAGCAGTGAGGTGCAGAAGTACTACACTGAGGGAGCTCCAGGCTATGGAGACTTAAATATCTTCCCTCCTACAGTATCCTCTGTAAAGATTAAACAGTCCTTTTGGGTACTCATACAGTCTTTGCAAATACCGTGCTTGGAGGTCAGTATATTTCTTTCCCACCTGATCACCCATACAGGCAAAGGGTATCTCCACAAATGTTTAAGACAAACCACTTTTCTAGGAGTTAGCCAAGACGATAGAAACCTTTTCATCTCAATTTTTTCTGGTTTGTTCTGCTGTCTCTAAGAAAACCATGTCCAACTAGATGATTCTTTGCTTTAGGCAAGTATAAATATAAGATTCGCCTTTGATTTAAAGGGCCTTTTTAATATTTTGACATATTTGATCTTTTTGCAAATAAGAGGTTGTGATGGACTGCACTTTTAAAAGCTTAAAAGTGCTGTGTAAACAGAGAAAGAATGGTGAAGGGTTAATTCTTCACAGAGCCAGAGAGCCTTGAGTGACAGGCTGCCCCAAGCAATCTGATTGGTTAGCATGAGCTGAGCAGAGAAAGTCTTGAGAGGGCTACATGCTGAGGAGAATTTCAGTCAGATTTTTGCCTTGACTGAGTTGAATTCAGCCTTCGCTGAAAGCAGTTTGACACAGACAGGAGAACTGGGAGAAAGTTGGCAAGGAAGTTTGGGAAGTAGACAAAGACTCCCATTCAGGCCAAGGAAAGGGGAATAGATATTCTAGAGAGAGAAGAAAATTTCCTACCCAGTCAAACAGGGAGTTAATTCTAAAGAGAGCAGAGATCCCTGGTTTGGTGTGGTTAGAAACTGCCTTTGGAAACCTTAAGAGTTAGTTTAAAAACTCAAGACGAGTATTGGTGTTTCAAGAGAAGAGGTTTGGGTACTGGAAGTGTCCCAGCCTTCTGGAAACCAAAAGAGTCAGAGAATGTTCAAAGAAAGTGTACTGATGTGTTTGGGGAAAACATTGAAACAGAAGCCTCTCAACATAGATAAGTAACTGTGGCTGCGGTCACACGGAGCATTAGCCACGCTACAGAGATGGAAGATAGGCGGATTTTCCGGGCGCGATCACACCACAACATCTGGGAAGCGTAGAGCTCCCGTGGCTCACTCGAGGCTTCCCGCCGAAGATGCGCCTTAAAAAACTAGTACCTCCGAGGGATGTGGCTCCAGAGCAAACTGATTGATGCAGCGGCCAAATGGCTCGCTCACCACTTTGATGCCAGCAGTAGCTCACCAAGTAGGATTTTTGCTCGCAAGACTCTGCAGCTTAGAAGGCGCATTGGTGGCCACCCTAGGACGGCCACGGCTTGGCACGACGACGCTCCCTCCCCCCCCACGGTGCATGGCTTACTTCTAAGAAGACTGGGGGGGCCTTTCCGGCTGCCGCACCGCTTCTCCCGGCTGTTGCTTATCCGGAGCCTTCCCTGTTCCCCCTCCCCGGATAGGCATGCGCACGCGCAGAGCCCCCTCCTCTTTTCCGTACCCCCCCCACTCCTGGCTCGGCCTGCTTGAAAGGAACTCTCTGCACCGGGCGACAGAGGGGGAGGTGCAGGGGGGCGTGGTGGGGGGGCGGCTGGCTGAAGCTCCTCCTGGAGGGGACCGGATGGAGGACACAGTTTGCACTCCTCTGCAGCCCTGGAAGATGGGACGGCTGCCCGCGCAACCCTGCGTTTTTTTTCCCCGGGGCAAACAGCCCCCCCCCCCCCCCCCCCGCATTTTCCGGCCCGTGTGACCGGAGCCTGTGAATAGCTTAAGAAACTCTCATTAGCCTGATTCATAAGAATTATAGTCTGTGCATGTACTGGTTTTCCCTCAGAAATTTCAACCCCTGATTTCACCTGATTTTTCCCCTCTATGTGAAATGAAATATTTTGTTATTTTTGAATTTCTAAACACCTTGAGTGCCATTTAAGTTGTTTAAGTGAAAGCAGGCTCCTGATCCTTCCCTCAGTTTCCTGGGCTGAGCCAACAGCCAAAATATCATATTGTGACAGGGTGGAACAGCCAGAGTTCTTCAGCAAAGACGAAAACACATTACTAGGGTGGCTCAGTCAGTAAAGGGAAAGAAAAATGGAGGGAAAATCTTGCCTTTGGGGGAGGGAAGTGGACAGGGTCATGATAGAGGTGTTCTAATCAGCCACTTGTAGTTCACCATATATTTGATAGCTGGTATGTTTGTATTGGAGGAAGCCTCTTTGCTGATTGTATATGGTGATGCCTCAGATTTTGTATTGTATGGCTGCGGTCAGACATGCCATTTGGCATGCCATTTGGGTTTGGGAAGTGCTTCTATTACCTCTGTTGGAATTTGACATGGAGTCACGTGATCACACATCCTGTTTCGCTGTGGGCTCACTGTGTGATCAGATGGCACATTCAGGTGCATGGGGGGTTTGCATTTTTTGTGCATGCGCATAAACAAGGAATTGAACCCCTGCGCGGAGAGTTCTCCGTGGAGGGTTTTTGTGCATGAGCATCTTCACTTCCAAGAAACAACTCTGCTTTCTAACCTCCCTGATCCTATGAAACGATTATGCGGTTATGCGCATACTGCTAAGCGATCAAAAAGAATAGTGCCAAGTCAAGATGGAATGGGCAGGCCATCCTGACAGCTTGAGAGTGTGCTTGCACTATCAGACAGAGGGAAGTATGTCCATGGCCCATCGGAACCAGTTAAGATCAGACTTTCCCTGGAGTCTTTATTTATGTGGTGGGGCAGCACAGGGTGCTGACGACTGCAGGACCTTTCCCAGATGTTGCTGTCTGATCATGCACTTTAGATCCGTCAGGCATTCACAGCTAAGTCGGATCTAAAGTCACGTCTGACCACACCCTAGGTCTCCCCTTCCTTCTCCATTGCTTGAAAAGCAATGCTACTTTAACTCTTCCACAGATGCATATACAGCTATGCCTTAAAATCCATTCACCTTGTTGCTTTGCTCTTTCATGTTGTGGTGTCGTGTTTTGTGACAGTGTGTCTTTGTTTTATTTTTCTAGAGACATCCCTGGGGCAGTACAGTCTCAAAGAGTGGGGATGTGTCACCTCTTTCTCTGAAAAATGGGAAATTACTTCCCTTTAATTGCTTTGTTCTAAACATGTTATGACAGATCACCCACTCATCCACTCTGCTCTTTTTGGAGCTGAGGGTTCTGTAACCTTCTTGTGCATATTTCATTTGAGTGCATATGAAATTATTCTGTCTGGAGCTGAAAAGGAAATTT